TGTATTGCGGATTTTTTTTTTTTGTAAAATGATAAATTATACTTTTTAAATTTGCATAAAGTTAATCTTAAAAAAATTTAAAAAATTTCATTTGCGTGGGGAATTTATACTAATCCTTTAGTTTTCGAATTATGAGTAATAGGTGTGTTTTATTTTATTAATCTATATGTATGCATGTGTAATCTAGAGGCAGAAGAAACAATAAAATACTATGATAGCTTTATAAAGAAACTGTTTTAAGACAATATGCGTTTAACAATGACCTGCCGTAGCTGGTAGAATTCCTATATGAATTTTATTTTGACAATACGATTACTTTTTATTTATAATTATTAAAATGGTCAAATGGTTTTAGTACAAATACAAGTGATATAGAGGTGACAAATAGAAGTAATAAAGGTCATCGTACCATGCCTCATGTTGTTACACCATGCCTCAGAAAGGGATAAAACTATAGGAATTTCTAGAATGATTAAGTACTGGATTTTTATAAGGAAGAAAAGCGTATGTTTTCCTAGTCATTTTGCGAAGACTGCTTATATTACTTAAATAAACATTCAACAAATTTTAATATTAGTCTTGAATCAATATTAAACGTACATATTTCAATTGTAATGAAAATCTACTAAAATTTCGTAATATAGAGCAATATTCATTTATTCTTACATTTATTAAGAAATACTGTGCCATCATGGACTATATACGAGATACGACCATGTTTTGTGGGGTACCAAAAGCTACCAATTTACAGTTTTATCGTTCATCTTGCAAATTTAATTGCTTTTACTCTAGCTCCAGCAACTAAGATCATTGTAAAACATACTGCAAGTATTCCAATTTTTTTTTTAAGAATTTTTTAATTGTTATGACAGTGAAGATTGTGATGACAGTAAATTAAAAACAAAACTCTTGCATTTCTGCGTATTTTAAACTGTTACAAAATAACATGCTGCTTTTCGGATATTTACATCAAAAATTATGCTCAAAATTTTCTCAGCTTGTAATTAATTTTAAGTATGACTTTTTTTCAAATGTCATTAAAAATTTTTCACATTTTTATTTTTTTTATATTTTCAAAAACTAGTATATATAAATATGTAGAAATATTTAAAATTGAATACGATATCAAATAATAAAATCTTTAATTTATACAGGTGGTTCGGAAATAAATTTAAACAAGTAAAAAAAATGTCATAATAAAAAATTAAGAAATTTAAATTAAACATATATATGTACATATGTATGTATGTACCTATTGCAAATACAATGTATGTACGCGAGTTTGAATTTCTACCGCATATACCCCCGTATATAAAACATTATGTGGGTATAAATGTTTTGACGTCGGAATACATATCTACTTCTCAAAAAATTCATAATATTATTAATTCCAATATGTATAGCTAAAATACAGCGATACTATGTAGATTTGTTGCACTAATGACTTAACTTGCATTAAATAACCTAATATTTAGTTAAAAATCGATTAAAAATTAAGATAACGAAAATTGTTCGCGCTTTAAAACGTGAGCGAAAATTTATTTTTTAAAATGCAAAAAACAATAAAATACTAAAATACAAAATTATAGTAAAAGAATTTTTTACATACATTTTTACCGACTGCGTTACATACAATAAGGCTGGTTATGTGATGGCACTAAATTTTACTTCTTTGCAGAACAGCTCTTTGAAGTTGTAGATCTATTTTTGTAATATATCAAGCCATGGGAATTGGACTTTACATTTTTAATAATTTTTAAGAAATTATTCAGCTGACTTGATATCTTATACAACTATAAAAAACTACATAACTTCTGGAGTATCAGAACTTGGAACTTAAACTTTTATCAGGGGTCGATTTTACATTTTTTACAATACTAAAGGAACTAAAATATTTACAATAACTAACGGAATTTCTTGAGAATATTTCCGTTCTGTTTGGTATCGGAATTAACTGACGAACTTTTTAGGTAATTCGGTTAGCATAAAATGTACCTGTACTAAGAGCCAAAATTTCGTTTTTCTAGGTTTGCTAACTATTACCCATAAGGTATGTTTAAAAGTTTACTAGCATACTTAAAATTTGAAAGAAACGTTTTGAAAGGATTTTCATAATCTTATGCAACTAGATTTTGCTAAACTAGATAATATAGATTGCGGTCGGTTATGTGGTGACCGTATCAGAATTTTTTTTTTTTTATTTACATTTTAGATCAAATTCAAAATATTTTTATGTTAAAATGCAAAAATACGTAAGCTCAAATTTATGCATGCATAGAATAAGCTTGTAAAGTATTAAATAAAAATTTTAGGGTTAAAAAATTCAAATAAATTTTCAGAAGTATGAAAAATTTGAATTTTTTTTTGTGGTTGTTGTGGTCTTAAAAAAGATTGATTAATTCTGATGCTTGGCTAAAAACAACTGTCGAAAATTAAATCGATTTATCGCATTTTTATATCAAATTTGTCATGTCATGTTCAAAAATGTAACAAAAAAAAAAATTAAAAAAAAAATATCCAAATCAATTTAAACTTTTTAACATTACATTTAAATTAATTGAAAAAATGCTTTTTTGCTATTTTAGAATACAAAATTAACTATGAAAACTCAGAAATTAATTCTCAAGGGAGATTTAGTTTGGCTTTTCTATTTTTCTATTTGTTTTTTTTTTTTTTTAATTTGAATTATTTGACATTTAACATTTTATTTTAAAAATTTATTTTAATAAAGATTGGCTAAAATCTACATAAATTATTTTTTTCATTACATACAAAAAAAAAAAAAATAAAAGAAAAAAAACATTATTGATTTGCTAAAATAAAATTTTAAAGTTTAACCCTAATACAAAAATATTTGTGTTCCACTAGTGAGTTAATGATCAGAATAAGCGATCAGTAAGCTTAGAGAACAAAATTGCTTGCTGATGACTTAAAATTTACTTTCATTACAAAAGTCGTAATCAAACGACTTATTAATCGGCCTATTTACCCTTGCATGCACAGTCTTTATTTTATGCTTCTCAAATCCTACCTCCTGTAAAATTAAATTTTGTTTGTAGATGGGAGGGTATGAGAAGCACAACATAAAGTTTATGCTGCAAATCTACTATTCAATATTGACACGACCATATTTCCAGATCAGGTGATAAAATATAAATGTTTTAGAACATCTTGAAATGTCAATTATTTTTACTGTTCTTAAATTTAATTTAAATTACTTACATAAATATAATAAACGTAATATTATAAAAAATGCCATTAATTATGTTGCACGAAGAAGAATAAAAACGAAAATAAGTCATGAAATTTAATAATAAATGAAAATTTGACATTAAATTTTAACAAGGTTTTTTTTTTAACTCTTTATTTTTCTGTTTATTGATAGATGTCGTTTTCGAGTGTTAAATCATTTTTCTTAACTGGTTAAAAAGCTCTGGCGTTTCTAATCTTTGAAATAATATGGCAGTTAAATGAAAAATAAAATCTAATAATTCACATGAGATTTATCAAAAATGGAGTTATTTGTTTTTATTTATGAATTGTGTATTGAAAATACTGTTTCTAACATGGGAACAATTTCAAATTTTGGTCAATTAAAATGGGAAATAGGTATGACGGATCGTATTATAAATTTTGTATGGGAACTTTATGCTTTGTGCTTAAGTTATGGTAATTTTAATTATTATGTATGTATGTAGTTCTTACAAATCAGAAGCGAAAACGAGAAATGCAAAATTGCTTCTAAAATTTTGTAACCAAATGACTCCAATTTTCGATAATTTTAGTCAATGGTGGCAAATGAGGGCAAATTGTCAATTATAAAAAAAAAATAAAGTGATCGTTTTGAAAATTTCTAATATATAGGAATTTTAAAAATGGTCACTTATGTAGGAAATATATGATAATTTCCTCTATATAATTGCAAATTAGTCTTCGATACAAGTTTTCGTATAACATATTTTTTGGTTTTTCAATGATAATTTCAGCAGTGGAAAAAAACCTTAGAATTCTAATTTTGAATCTTCATTTTCGGTGTCGCAGCTCTATTTGTAACAGTGTTGTCTATTAAGAATGCATTCAATAGTAAGAATAAGATTTTCTATAATTATCAAAGTATAATGTATGAATGCTAGAGTTAATTTAATGTTTGGACTAATATTCCTTAAAAAGAAGCTAAAAAATTAAGTACTGTATAGGTTTATGATGTAAGTTATTGTATTACTGAATAAGTACACTAAATAAATAGCAATACGTTGCATACCTTTGTAAAATTAATGTCTATAACGTGTAATTTCAATTTTATATGAATAAGAGCTATAATCTTAGGTGATACCTTAGAGCAAGCATGAATAAATAAATTTGTTCCAATACATAAACTGTTTTATTAATTTATTCTTTTATAATTAATTTTATTCTTGCATATTATAATGCCTTTTTGCCTATATTTCATGTTTGCTAGTAGAAGATCTACACAAAATTGTTACTACATATACAAATAAATATACAACCGTATATGCCTCATTATATATATATATATATACATATAGCTAATATTGTTCTTGTGCCAGAAAAAATTCGCGCAAGTTACATTTATTTGATCTTACCTTGAACTTTTATTGTAAAATTTTATATTGGCTTGGCAATTCATTCTTATGACTTTTTAATTATTTTTATAAGTACTTATAAATTACATTTAATTTTAAAATCAATTTTTCCCAATTAAAAAAACATTTTATAAATCTATATAGTACAATTAGTTTTTTCACTTAAATACACTTGATGTTTTGTAATTTGAAAACATGTTTTTCTAATTTGGAACAAAAGTTAAAATCAATTTACGAATAAAGTTTTTGTTGCCAAAAATATGATAACTTTCATAAATCTAATTGAAAATTTCTAAATGAATTTTAAAAATTAATAAATCTAAAAATTAAATAATTATTTTACATAAATTTTAAATAAAAATAAATTCGAATTAAAAAAAATATTAAGGAACTTACCATGCCCTCGGTATTTTTGTATTTCAATGTCATCTTTAATTAAAAGAATTTCAGATACAACAACATTAATAGCGTTTCCAATACTAGCATCACTAAATATACTTGATACCTATAAGTATGTAATTAATTAAATATATTAGAATTGTGGACTATTAATTTAAAAACTTGTTCTTATTATACTTATTATAGGTTAAATTTGATTTGTGTGGATACCAGGAGATTTTTAAATTTTTGGCTTGAAATTCTGGCAAAGATTTTCTGATTTAAATAAAAGTATCAGTTGAGATTTTGTTCACTTAATATGCAAAATATATGCTTATTATTATGCTAATGTGTGAATGCTATAACAATAAAAAGATGATATACGTAATATAAGAAGTTCATAGTATTTTTAATTTATATTGAGATCGAACATTACTCCCAAACTCATCGTATTAGAAGCAGTTTAAGAAGTTTAAATTTTTTATTGAAAAGTACATTGGAGCACTATGAATATGGCAACCAAACTTTTAATAAATTTTTCATTAAGTACAGGTTTCAAAATATTTCATATAATTTCGCTGGAAACTTTAACAGTTCTTGCTTTTAAAATAGTATTGCTTTTCTAAACTTTTTACTGCTTTAATAGTATTTTTAGCTATGTATAGTTATGTATGTAGTGTAATTATTATGAACAACATTTTCTAAAACGTTAATATTTTTGAGCACCGCTTAGGTTTCCTTTTATGATAATTTTTGCTAGCTGCAAGTTTAAATGCAATTAAAGATTACATAAACATTTTTTTCCGACCGTATTGCATATAATAAAATTTTGGATGTCGAGTTTTCGGTTAGAATTTCTCCATATAGTTATGCTAGTAAATAAACTATTTTTAGAGAGATGTCAGCGCTGTCAGCTGAAGCGATTTTGATAAAATTTTGTATGTAAGCGTATTTTGACTATGGCACGGATTGATAAACTTTTGGGATATATCAGATTTGAGGAACTGGAGACCTTTTTGGCCGATTTTATATTTTTGTGTATATAAAGAGAAATGATTAACCAATTTTTAAAGTCGGGGTAGGATGTTAAAAAAATGAATCTATAAATTTTTTGGAAAGATCCGGGCTCGGAAACCGAACTGGGGGCCGATTTTACATATTTTACCATATGAAATTTGATATTTAAGTTCTGATAGTTACTTAAACTAACTAGTGAACTTTTCAGGAAATTCGGGTAACGTAAAGCGAAATCTTACTAAGAACCAAATTCCAACTTTTCTAAGTATGTTAACGAAAAGACTGCTAACTTCCTTAAAATTCAAAGGAAATGTTCAAAAGGCATTTTTATAATCTTCTGTAACACTTTCTCTGAACTAGGCCATATACATTGTGATCAGTTATGTGCTGATTACATCAGATTTTTTTTTCATTCCAAATTCATGGAATTTAAATTTTCAGTGACTAAGTAGTTTTTATTAAAAACAAGGTAATTGCAATTGCAAATCGCTTTCCTAAAATTTTGTTCTCAAGCACTAACTTCGGTACTTTTAAGTTTGGAATAATTGTAATAAATTTTTTTATCAATAAAATCAGTTTTTCTGCATTTTTCGTAAATTAATCAGGAATTTTATTTTACATGCATCTATATAAAATATTTGAAGAGATATATGCGAAGCTATCAATTCAATCTCACATGAAATTTTATTTATAAGAAAATCTTAATAGATTTTAAGCTTATTTTTGATTAAGTGGTAAAAATTTTTTTTACAATTTTACATTTTAAAATTACAATAAGAAAAAACACAAAAAAATTTTTAAAAATCTCGTTTTCAATTGAAATTCTGCAAACATTTTTATTGCATGTTAATATTAAAATCACCACACATTACATAACTATGACCGGCATTTTAAATGTAAATAAGTATACGAGTACGTTACAAGAAAATGACCTTGAGTTTAAAAAAAATCTATAAATAGCTAGATAAAGTTTCAAATTTATTAATTAAAATGATTTTCATTTTGATATTGGCTTGAAAAATTATTTCCAAAAAGGCGACGTCTGTTTAAATATAGGGTTTTCATTTTGAGTGTTAAACGCTTAACTTACACATTTTATTATGGAATTGAAGACCTTATTAAATTAATTATTCGATTAAAGATTTGGTTTTCCTCACCAAGTTCTTGTAAGTTAAAAATATTTATCTAAAATTTATAAAAGGTTCCTAAAATTAAATTCTTTTTGAATTCTTTAATTTGTGGTAGATTGAATTTCACGCAATAATTTGACATTTAAGCCGAACATTCTTTCCTAGTACAGATTCTGTCGAAATAACTTGTGGTGGAATTTTTTAGACATTCGTATGTGATTTACGGTTTGAACACTGGTTTAATTTCTAGTGATTTTCTAGTTAAATCGCGTCTAGCATTGTATATACCATAGTTTTATAGTTTCAACGGTATGCAAGTACTTAAGCTACAATCTTAGAAATCAGCTTTTATGTGTATTTAAACTAAATTCTAGTACGTACCAAAAGACTTAATAAATATTTTTCTATTGCATATTTTTATACATGCATACAAACATAAACAAAATTTAACCTCTTCTATACATTATTTAACAACAATTTTAATCTATCAATTATATTTCCATTTTGTTAACTAATGGCAAACAATAAAAAAAAAAAAAACAAACCAAAAAAAAAACCTCAACAAAATTATTTACGAAAAATTCCAAAAGAATTTGTAAAATAAAGACTAAAATGTTAAAAAATGAAAACAAATACAAAAATTCCAAATACTTACAACACCCATTAATGTCAATACATAATTTTTTATCTTATGTTCACCATGAAAATCGATAGTTGCACGATCAACTGCAACCAATACTTCCAATGTATATTGATTCTCAAATGTATTACGTTTTCGACGTCTTCGAATTATGTTCTCAGCAATTGGATTATCTTTTTGGTTAAGAGGAAAATGTTGTTGTGGTTGATGTTGCTGGTGGTCATAATATTGATCATCATTTTGATTTTGATTATGATGATGATGATTACGATGATGTTGATGATGATTGTTATAATTATGATTGTTATTTGTTTCTTCAATAACTTCATCTTTACCATTTGAATTACCAACAAAATCAATGGTTCTTTCATCGTCTGGAGAAAAAAAAAATAAAAAATAAAGGATAAATGTAAAATAGTAAAAAATTAAATAAATAGTAAAAAAAAAAAAAAAATTTATGGTTAAAAGTTACTAGGCCAATTCGATTCGAAATCATTTTCATTAAGTACACATTCATTTTGAAAGCAAGTGTTAAAGCATTTATTTTTCAGTCTGGTGGTATTTGTATAAGATTTTCAATAGATGATTTTGTCGATGAGTTCATAAACTAATATTTTTTTTGTTCATTACTATTTTTATGTCTAATTTTATTGGTGTTTTTCGTAACGCTGGCATAAAGAGACAATTTATTATTAATTGTGATAATGGCATGGTTGATAGATCGTGCTCTCTTGTATTCTGTTTGTGAATTATACAAATAAATTGAAATCGATTTAATTTAGCTTACATTTTTATGTAGTTTAGGTTTCGTGTTTTCCTAAACTAGCTGAAAACGGTATTTGGAGTTCTTATTTATGTTTTTTTTAAATAATTTTATTCTATTTTCAGTGTTAAATGAATTATTTTCAATTGAAACCATTAAAATTTCGCAAAGACTGTAAAAAAAAAAAGACGGAAAGAGAAAGAAACAGAAAGAGAGTAGTACAAGCTGAGTCAATGTAAGAGTTTTCTGATAAGAGTAATGTTTCTTTACTTTTCCGATAGAGGGGAAAAATATATTTATGCTTGCAAAAGGATGAGAAATGTTTGTCAATCATTTATTTTATTTTCATATATTCAAACCATATGCTGGTTTGCGATTTTTATACGTTTAGAACGTTGAATAGCCTTAAATGGAACGCAAAAATTGTTAGACAACTAAAAGTAAAATCAAGTAACCAAGTAATAAGTACTCATCATTTTATAAATAATATTTAAAATTGTACCAGTCGAAATAAGGCAGTATGTAGTCATTGTATTTATTTAAATATTATATAGGCGCTACTTTGGAAAGAGCCTATACGATTAAAGGCTTGAAAAAAGCTAGAAAAACAATAGATGTCACTAAATATCACGCTACAGTCGAATCTAAAGATCGCATACAATCAAATTTTGTCAGTCGAGTTCACTTCGCTTTAGTATACAGTCGAATTCGCTTATAAGCACATCACGAAATTGTAAAGGTTTTCTAATTAACAATTTGAGTTATGAACACAAATTTTTTTTTCTATTTACAAAAGTTTTTGATATTGTAAAAATTTAAGGCCAAATATCAAAAGAAAATCAAGTTTTTGTTTACAAGCAAATTATAAATTTTAAATTTTATTAAGATTTTACAATTTGGTTTTACGTCATTTCCCACAGTATAATGTAGGTTAAAACTATAATTTTATTATTCTTTTGATAATATATAAGAAATTTTTATATATACAAAGGATTCAAATTGATTTTAAATAAAATTTTCATTAGTATACCATTCAATAATGCAATCGTACTCATATAAGTGAAAATTTTAATTATAAGAACGAAATATTTTATGATTGAATAACAATTTGCGTCAATCATTTGTATTTTTAATTCTTTTATAAATTTTTCTTCTTATCACTAATATGATTATTTGCATATATGCGGTATCACCTGCAATGAAATTATTTTCATTATATATTTTCTTGGTATAATGATAAATGAAATATTATTTTTATTTGAAAACGAAGTGATTATGTAAAAAGAAAAATTTTATTAAAGAAAATTCAATAGTATAATCAGGGTTTCTCAACTAGAAAATGTAGGGGAATAAATTACGTATATATGAAATTTCATATAATATGTGTTAGTAATTAGTATCCTTGATGCATCTCCTTGTTTTCAATTACTCTATGACGACATAAAATAAAAAAAAGCACAAAGACGCTGTAATTTACGTAATGTATAAGAGAACAATTGAACGCAATTACAAAAAGTGATTGTTATATAACTTTTATAGAGGCTAAACATAATTCCCTTCGAGATTATAATTTATTCAAGAGTTATTTCCTGTTAGAGAAAATTCGGAATGACACTACAAATCGACTTTCGATTTTAGTTCTCATATCAGTTTTTGGAGACTGACAATTTTTTAAATTAATATTAGTTATGAATGCTTGACCTAGCAATTGGCTGCTGAAATTGTTGGTTCCAATGCTTCTAAATTATATTTTTTGGAAGTACACGAAATCTTTTGAGGTAGCACCTTTATAAAATAATATTGAAAGTGCAATATCGCAATTGATGACATTCTAAATCTGTGAAATGCGTGAATAGTGGTAGAACTCTACCAAGAGAGTAAACAGATCCAATAACTCTTCCAATAAACAGATTATCTATTATAGTATAAATTAAATTAATAAAGTACACGATACTTTATGCAATAGATTTTAAGCCTATATTTTCAAATTTAATGATTTTAACGAATCCAACAAAAATTCTAAAGAATTTAATTTGTTTTTTTCGGATAATTTTATATTTTAATAAAAAATAAATCAAGACAGAAATATTCTAGTAATCGAAAAATTTCTAGTAATTTTCATATACTCATAAATTATTGAAACAAAAATGTTGTAAGCTTTATCCATTTCGTCAATATATATTTGTAATCAGAATCATTTTGCTATAAATTCTTGGTTTTATTCTCTGGCATACTCTGCACTTATATAAACCATTTTATCAAATAATTAAGAATTTTTATAAAATATTCTGGGAAATATTTATAAAATATGTTCGTAAACTTGATATAGGCACTATTAAAACTGTTTAAATAGAATAAACTAATAATAAAAATTTTAAAACAACTTGTTTCCTATGTAGTGGAGACAAAGGTATAATGGCTGCGGTCATATGAGAAATGTGGTAACAATTTGTAAATATTGAATTACAAAATAAATGTTTAACAATTAATAAAAGTGTAAAATGGCTAAATAGTAAGTGAAGATCAATAAATTTTTGAGATTATGTGTATTTTAAATATATTATAGATTTTCTATGCGAATAACCACCATTGCAGAAATATTATTGATATTACAATATTCTTCATTCACAACATTTATTGAGTGTATATTTGAATCATTCACAACTTTTCAATATCGAAAATCATTCTTGATAATTAAAATCAATTGAGATGATAAGGTGAATGAAAAGTGGTAATATTCCAGTTTAAACCAAAATAAAATTTTCAAAATAATCCTGAACATGGTACACAGTTCTGTTCATGCCAAAACTTCGCTACTTTAATGACAATATACGATATTTCATTTTGGAAATGTCTTCTAATTGATTTTTAAAATAAAACGAAGGACCAATTTGTTGGAACCAATTTGTTAATTTTATTTATTTTCCAAAAATATTTAGTTATTTTAACATGTTTGGGGGTTTAAGATGCACTTTAAAAATTAATTGAACATTCGTGAAAGAAATTGCGTATATGATTTTCAAACACAATTCCTTATTGTTTAGTGAGTGGAATAAGGCTTATAATTCGGGAAATAATAAAATTAATAATTTTCTTATGTAACATAAAATTTAAATTCAATATTTAATTTAATTTTTTTTTATAATGACTTTTTGATTTATTATTCAACATCCACAATTTTTTTTTTTAAATTTTCCACACTTTAATAAAAGTATTATAGAAATTGGATCATACACGATATATTAAGGACCTTACAATTAATTGTAGATGAGGTCAGCTATACTTTCAAAATAAATGTGGAATTAATAAGAAAAAATCGTACTGAAATACCAAAATATAAAAAATAATTTTATTTCAACTCAATATTTTTAAATTTAATAATTAATAAAGATTGATTTGTTGTCTACGATCTAAATGAATGCTTTTGTATTTTCTTAAACTGAAAAGCGATTTTTTTCTATTATTTGCATGGCGCTTTAATATTTTTTTCTTCTTCTTTCTTTCATTTCAGAATTGAAATCAATTATTGAGACCAAGAATGTGGTTATAAGGGTTACCGAGCATATAAATTTCAAAAAAAATTTTCTTTTATTTCATTTATACTATTGATTTTTTTACATAGTTTGGTGTTATTTATTTAAAATGTGCATGCGTTTGTACAAATATTCTCTTTATACGCAGATAATCATAATTTATAAGTGCCAATATTTCAAAATAACACCCAATGAATTTTGATCGGGAATCAGTAGGAGGCATTTTTGTAAAAAATATTTATAGAAGAGAGTGGTTCAAACGATTTAAGAAATTGCGTATTGCAATCCCTATAAGTATCTTTAATTTAACTGAATCAATTTAAGAACAATTCTATTCATAGTGGGTATATGGTTACAGAATTTCTATTTGCATTTCTGAGACATTTAAAGTTCATGCAACAATTATATTTTTGGAGCTATAGAATATTGGTGACCAAAGAAAATTGTAGTCAGCAAAATTTGTATTTGACAAATGTGGAACGTAATAGGGAGCACCAATTATGTATTTCAGTCACTAACTACGGTGAAGCAGAAAAACATACTTTTGTTTGAAAAATTACAGCTTTAAAATTATTACGTTGCTTTGTTGAATTCCTTGAATTGCAGTGTTGATTTGTGCAGTGAAAATGCTCATGTCAGAATGTTTTAATTGCCAAAATGTTTTAATTGTCAAAATTTGACTTCTATAATTAAATTCTAAATCGCAAATTTACCCTTCATTTTTTATTTTTTTTAAAAGTTATGAAAAACTCTAACACAATGTGAGAATTGAATAACTTCAATGTCATAGTAATGCACATAGTTTAAATCAAATTCATTTCACTCTCATGGCTTTAGCGCAAATTTAATAGCAGCAATAAAGGTACGAGTATTTCAAGTGTCAAATTATTCACATTATTTTTTTTCTGAATTTTTTTTTCATGAATAATAATTTTTACTCAACTATTAAATTTTTACGGTCCACCCTATTAATTTATAATGAACAATTAAATCTTGTTAACTATTTACCGCGATTTAACAACTTTTAATTTTCAATTTTTTTTTGTTTTTTAAGTTATGAAGCGTTTAAAAAGCATGA